CACACACACACACACATATACATACATACACGTGCACAACCCTTAGTTTTAACACTAAGTAGCTAAAAAAAATAAAGCTAAACCTGCACGACAAAATAAAATAATGAAAAACCTTGGTAAAAGTCACCAAACTTTCTGCTTTACTGCTGCACAAGGTGGTAGATATTTTTTTTCAATAAAAAGTTTTAGGATTTAAATATTATACACATTTTAAAAAGAATGTGATTTGTTCAATTTGATGCATATCATTTTCCACTTCGATTTTACTGCCAATGCATGTCCAAACTGTCCAATCCCATCAGCTCTTTCCTTTATGGGAAATAAAATGTTGCTTGCATCTCTCTTTCAGATTTAAAGAGAAGTTTGGAGCAGGAAGAATCATCCCGGCTGCAGGTCCAACTMGCTGGAGTTCCATCTACAATCAAATGAAAGCCTTAATAAAAACTGAGGGGTTGGATTCTGAAGGTCTGGCAGAGGTATGCAACACCAAGAGCTTCCTCACCTCCTGCTCAGCCAGCATGAGCTGGAACAGCTGACAGAGCTGTGCAGGGTTCTGGCACTGCTGAAAGACTGCTCTTTCACAAGGTAAAACTTGTGTTCTTTTTATTATTTATTATCGGCATTTGAAATTCTCACCATTATAAAATTCCTMAAGTCATTAGTGAGTTTTTATTCTTTGACTGCTGGAATGTTGAAACCTCATTATTTTTCCTCCTCGTTGTTGTGAACTGTGTCTCTTTACTAGGGGGATCAGAGCATCACAGTAGCCACATTGTGTCTGCTGTGCTCGACCTCAGACACTTGAAGGGAATCCTCATTCGATGGCCAAGTGGTGGAACTCATCAGGGGTGCAGCTTTCACGCTAAAAGTTCGTGTATAGGGATAAATTCTGAAAAGTGCGTACGCACATTCACATGTACAAAACGGTGCACACACATGTTTCAACGCACCTTTCCTTCATACATCCCAACAAATGTGGAACTAAGCACACCAAAACACCTCCATTTAAATATGTTAATTAAATGCTCCTGCCACTGTTTTTCCAATGTAGCCTTTCTACTGAAAATGGCAAATAAACTTGAACTAATATGTCCAGTGTGTGTGTTTCTCCTCAGATTCTCCTCTCTGCGTGAGCAGAAATGATTTCTAGACGCAGGGAAATGATACATTAAATGGAGAATGCATGAGAAAAATGTCTAAGTAAGTAGTAAAAATTGTCACATGAAAAGGACTTGTGATTATTTGGGTGTGGTCCCTACATAATTACCTACAAGCAGAAATCAGCCAGAAATAAACAAAGTTTAAAGAGTTATCCCAAAACAGGTAAGATATTAAT